TTGCAGTGCAATCAATATGAATAAAACAGCTAAAGTGATAATAAATTCTTGCAAAATAAGGATTCTTATAAAAATATTCTTTATGTCTGAAAGCGTAGAGAAGCCAGTAAACTATTATTTTTCTTTTTGAATGAATGCGCAGCTGAATTCCTGAAATAATTTTTTAAGGAAAAATTTTCAAAAAAACTGCTCTGTAACAGTAGCTCTAGTACACCTGCTTGAATCACCCACAAAACAATACCACAAACACTCTGAGGAAAAACAATGAGTTTTTGCGTTTGCATCATATGCAAAAACGCATAAAAATTGTAGGGCATGGTGTGTGGAATGTCCGGATCGTGAGCTGATCCTGGCCAATGTGCTGTACGATCATGTTTTGGAAATGCTACAATGCATACATCCAACCTATAAGGAAGTGGACGATCAGTCTGTGCATGTTTTGCTACCGCTTGCTTTCGATTACCAGGCTTGCTTTTTTCAACCTACTAAATTGTGAGATCGTTGGACCGCTATATTACCATTACTTTGATTTCAAACTTTTGATTAGCTGCAGTTCACAGCATTACTTATCGTCTGTACAACTGACAACTTTTCTATTTGTTTTGACTAATGCTGCATTCGTTACACGGTGGGCAGGGAGCTGACTAATTCGGTATTCGCTCCATCTTCTGGTAGCTTGTCCAGTTCAATAATTCTTTCAAAGAAACACTTGAGATAAGGCTTAGCTATTTCTAAACATCCTTGATCGTATTTATCGTCACTGTCACCTCTTGAACGTTGCTACCTACAGTTCACATTAAGATATGTTAGTAGTCAAAAGCACTGATTTAATAAGTCTGATAAATACTATTAAGTTGTTCAGAGCTACTGAATTATAGGAACTAACATTTCGGTGGGGCTCTAATCTAAAAAAATGAAATGTTTCAGATGGATGGTCTCCTGCATCGCTGCGAATGCTTCCTTGTGCAACACAAACTGCCTTTCCTTGAAAAGGTTTGGCTAGCTGACAGGTAATTAAAATGCTTTTCACCGCAGTAAATTCTCGGACAGTAAGCGCTTCTTATGCGTAAATTTTCAATTACTCGCCGGGTGTTTTCGCTGATGCCGTACAAGAATTATTCTTTTTGAAATGCTTTTGAATTTGAAGTTTGGAATGATTTCAGGTACAAGCTGAATCGTTTATTGGTACTTTGTTTGAGAGAAATGAGGCCCAATTCCAAAATCGATCTTACGGGTACCCGTTATTATGGTTTGAGTGATCGCGTCAAGGTGCTGCTTTTGGAAAGGTTGCATGGCGCCTCCGCACCAGAGGTTTGCGGATTGTACCTTACATTTTTATGAGTTTTCACTGATTTAGCAGCGTGCAAAAGTGGGTTACATCTCTGTGCAAGTGTAAAAATGCATATTGGCAAGAGTTTGTCGACGTATGTGTGTATGTGTGGCCGGTTTTTTTTTTACCAACATTCAACTCAGCATCAACAGAAGCCGGGACTTAACAAAGGTTCTGCTAGTGTGTGCCTTTCAAAAAAGCAAATCGTCGTTCACGTACACCTAGAAAACATGTAAATCTTTTGGCGGGGAAGCAGTTTCGGGAACTAGGTAGGGTAGAGAGCTGAAAACTCACATGCATATTCTCTGTTCATGTATGAGCAAGAGATTTCAAATTCAACTAACACGCACCCCTATGTCATGCGCAGGAAAGGTCAAAATTGGAATCCAGAAATTAGCGACAAAAATGCCAACTCAAAGGTCAGACTAAGTTGGTTGCTTTGAGTTCACGAGAATACTTATCAAACGTGAGCATGTGGCGTAAAATAAACTGTAACACATAACTCTATGGCGTATTTGAACACGTCAAAGGTACTTACAACGAAAAGAGATTTCGCCAGCCAGATAAGCTAAGAAGCTGAAATTTTTCAAGGATATTCTGTGCCTACCTGGTATTGAAACATTTAAAATTCAGCTTTTAAGCGCTCCTAGGCCACCCGTGCGCGCGAGTGAGTGTTTAGTTTTGGTTGGCAGAAACCTTTTAGTTTAGGAAGTGCAATTGAGTGTTTTGCTGGCACCCGATTAATTCATTATTCAGACTGAGCGAAAAGCAATGTTTTTCTGAAGACGTGTACTCTCACTTGCGGATGAATATGCGTAAAATAAGCTTTTGCTAGGCATGTGCTCTACCCACAGGCGCTTTAAATTTTTAGATTACAATCTGCGATTGCACCCCAGTACAGTTGGTCTCTCTGCAGGATGGAATCATGCAAAAACAGATAGTCGTAGCAGTAAGCCCGATGTCCAGGTTGAATAAATTCAGAATTACAAATGGAGTGAGGCGAGCCTGAAAATTTACATGAAACTAGCCTTAAGAATGGAATCAAAAGTGGCGGGTCCAGTCTTAAAGCTCGCCACTTTCCAGTGATTTGTGTGAATCCCAGCTTGTGACATCAGCTTAACTGCTTTGTGACCGAATTAGTCTCACTGGATTTTGTGGAATAGCACCTAATGAAAACCTAGGCTGGAATGCACTAGGCTTGGCGGTCTGGTCACGCATTTTTGCACTAAATTGAAGCAGTCAGTTCGTAAAATGTATGAATGACTGCTGCTTTACACTTACCTTATGAACTCATTAGCGTAAACCATCGTAAATTTGTATGTTCGAAAACGAGTGAACTTTGTCACCCACTTTCAGCTCAGCAATCAAGAAAGCTGGGAGGCTGGAATTTTCGGACTTATTCCCACGCCGTGTTTCATCCCTACCGTTTTAAGATTTTCCCTCACAAGCGTCTAGATTTGCTTACGGACCCCCGAAAAAATATACAAATTTTTTTGATGGGAAGCGACTTTGGAAGCCAGGCAAAATAGAAGACGGAAACTTTGCAGGGGCATTTTCTGTGCATGTGTAAGCTAAAGATTTCAAATTCAGCTGTCTTGCGTGCTTGTGCAGTGCGTACGACCACGTCAAAGTTTGCATTTGGCACTGTGATAATTCGAAAACTAGCCGGAAAACAGTGGCTGAAATTTTGTTAAGATGTTTGTCTCCCATTTAGGAAATAGTATACCTAAAATGAGTGCCGATTTGCACTTGCGCCACGATTTACTATATTTCAAAGATATTTGTAGCGAAGTGGTTATTTCATTTACCGGATAATATGCGAGGCTGAAACTTCGCAAGGTTACTCTATTTTCAAGTGCGATCTTAATTCTGCTTGGAATTGAAACTCTGTGCAGATGGGTATGAGAAATACTCAGCTTTACCATAAAGAAACGAGCGCATTTTGCAGCGAACGACAGCCCCATTTTCTTACATCGAGCTCATTTACATATTTGGACTTTTTATGCGTTTTTGCCTATATGCAAATTGCAAAAACGCATATTGGGACGACCCTGTCTGTG